AATTAAATATAAAAGTAAGCTATATCTAATATAGCTTAATTTTAAGCTATATTAGTTATCCGTGGACTTCTGCTACATTAGAGGACTTCACTCGAACTTTAACGCTGTTCACTACCATCAAGAAACGGCGAAGCCGGCCTTGCTCTTTTTGAACGAGACGCACATGTCCTCTCAGGCTGATACTTCGCACCTGTCCTACACGGGGTACAAATTAGAACACTACTTTGTGCCCCGCGCTGGAGTATGCGTATACGTCAGAGAGGTTATCCGTTCTCAACGCCTCGGCAGTCTTGAAGGTACGGACCTGTCCATCCTTTGGCTGCGCGTAGACAGAGACGACGATTTCTTGCTACAACAGATCCCATCCGTAGAGATCGTGATACTGTGCGATTTTAACGCTCACCACGCCGAATGACTCGGTTCACGTTTAACCGATCACGCAGGGAGATCTGTTTATGACTTTGCCTTGGCATACGGTCTGACACAACTGGTTACTTCGCCTACGCGGTTTCCAGATATGGAGGATTGTACACCTTCCCTGTTGGACCTTCTGCTGACCTCTCATCCGAACGGATATATGGTTTCCATCGATGCCCCTATTAGCTCTTCGGACTATTGTCTGATCCGGAGTGTGGTGCCACTCACGCTCCCCTCGCGATTGCGTTCTGCAGGCTGCCGCCGTGTTTGACAATACAGGTCGGCGGATTGGGACGGAATGCAGTCTTTCTTTGCATCCTACCCATGGGGGCGGGTTTGCTTCCTGATGATTACTGACTTTGTCACTGATGTGGTACTACAGGGAATGAAACTATTTATTCCATCATCTTTGATAACCATCGGAGGCAGATCTCAGCCTTGATTTGGTCGCTCCTGTAACACTGCATTACGCAGTAAGCAGGACTGTTATCAAGCCAGGGCTGAGGCTTCGGCGGCTCGGGATGTAAGCAACAGCATGCTCAAAGAGAAGTATAACTTCACCTCCAGGTTCTTCAAAAGAGCTATGGTCGAGGCAAAGTATGAGCACATTGGCAGGATTGGCGAGAAATTAGTTCGCCTTCCTTCAGGAACGCGTGTATTCTAGTTTCTCGCCAAGGCTGTTCAGGAGAATTTCTGTAAGCCATCACTAACATCTTTGCACAGGGAGGACGACTCACTGGCCCATGCCGCAAAGGAGAACGTGCGCTCCAGATTTGGCACCGGTCCTGACTCGTCTTTTCCAGTACTAGGAGTACAGTAATTCGGGACAACTAGGTGTTGTCCCGAATTCATAGAAGAAAACTTTCGTGCACCGATCCCTAAAAAAGGTAACCGCTCTGATCCGTCCAACTACAGGCCTATCGCCAGCACCTCCTTGTTCTCGAAAATAATGGAGTCCATTATTAACTGCCAGCTCATGTGGTACCTTGAGCAGAACCAGCTGATTAGTGACCACCAGTACGGTTTCCGTCGGGGTCACTCAGCTGGTGATCTTCTTGTTTATTTAACACATAGATGGGCGCAGGCGATCGAGTCCAAGGGAGAGGCATTGGCCGTTAGTTTGGACATAGTGAAAGCCTTCGATCGGGTCTGGCACAAAGCGCTTCTTTCGAAAGTTCCTTCGTATGGGCTTCCCGAGAAATTGTGTTTTCACCAGTTTTCTGTCTGATCGGAGCATCAAGGTCGTAGTAGACGGTGCATGCTCCGATTACAAGCCTATTAATGCTGGCTCCAAAAGGCTGCGTACTATCACGCATTCTTCTGCATATCAATGATATGTTGCAAACTATTCACTACTATGCGGATGACAGAACTGGTGATGCTCTATACACCGGCCGTGCCAATATTTCTCGGGAAAGCGTCGCCGAGTACCGGAACAAACTTATGTTTGTAGTCGAGTCCTTGCTGAACAAAGTCTCGGATTGGGGGCGACTAAATCTAGTCCAGTTTAATTCTCAGAAGACACAAGTTTGCGCGTTTACCGTTAAAAAGAACCCCTTTGTCGTATCTCCTCAGTTTCAAGGTAATCCTTACCTCAGCCGATATCGGAATCCTCGGCGTCGATATATCGAGTGATGTGCAGTTTCATGGTTACTTGAAGGAGAAGGCCAAATTGACCTCTAAAGAGCTTGGTGTGCTCAGCAGAGCGGGACAATATTTCATGCCAGCATACCGTCTGTGACTTTACAAGGCGCAGGTTCGGCCTCACATAGTGTACTATTCCGGACCGATACGACTTAGGGACCTTCAAGAAAAGAGCTTACTCCTTTTTAAAAGGCCGGCAACGCACCTGCAATTCCCCTGGTGTTGCAGTTGTTCAGAGCGGTGGTAGTCACTATCAGGTGAGCCGTGTGCTCGTTTGCCCCTCTCCTATAAAAAAATCCATAGAGTATTGCCAAAAGATATCGTTAAATATTTTAAAACTGTTGATGTTAAGAAAATGGCAGACTTATTGGGGATTTCCATTAATGTTATTTCATCTGTAATAGATACAATAGCACCTTATCTAGGTACTATATTTTATATAAGCGTCGAATCTGGTGTGTTTCCTGCTTTAATGAAACAAAGTATAGTCATACCTTTATTTAAATCTGGTAGTACATTAGATCCCGTCTATTTTAGACCAATTTCTGTATTAGCAACATTTAATAAAAATTTTGAAAAAGTAATTTTAGATCAGAAGTTAAGTTTTCTTTTTAATATTAATGAAATCAAAATTAATAAATTGAAAAAGGTTATTATAATATATGTCGGAGCGTCTATAAAATACAGGTTGGATTGAGTTGGAAATGAGGGTATATCGAGAAACTCCCACTTGTTTGTGCAGTATAAAGTTCACTGTATGTGCCGTGCGCGAGATTCCGCTCAAGTTATTCTACGAGTGTAGTCATTCTAATAGCGCTAAGTTAGTGTCGTGGTTCTGTTCGTTGTTGTAATTCTCCTAGCGAGGAAGATTGGTGTGGCTGAGAGGCTGCCCTGTGTGTTACATTGAGATAAGTAGTTTTGCTGTTGGTTTACATATTTTGGTGTTATCATATAATTACGTACCTCACGTTACACTGGTGTGTGATTGTGGCGGAGACGTGTTACGGTGGTCGAACTGTAATTGCTTTATACTTAATGTATAGTGCGTTTACGCTGTCTTACTACTGATAATGATTAACTGCGTAAGTAAGAGAGCAAGTTGAACACCAGTACACACTTTTACTATCTTTAACAATTAACGCTACTCTGATGTATTTCCGAGGTCAAAATTGGGATCTCCTGTTGTAATCTCGGACATATCAATGAATACATGGTTGATAATAACCTCTGGGAATGAGGTGGTCGCTGCCAAATTGTTTCTAAAATAAATTTTGTCAGTAGTTTGTACAACCTTTCATGTAAAATTAACTTTAAACAAAAAGTCCCGCTGGGTTTCTTGCTGGTTCTTCCCAGGATAGAGGCTTTTTTCCGAATCAGTGGGAAAGTAAAAAATGAATTTCAATAAGAATTACATACATGTGATCTATATTGAATAAAAATGATACTATTCTATTCTATTCTATAGCTAGTTATACAATGAATGAAACTAATTTATACGAATTTAATATGCAAATAAGCTATATTAGTTAAGCTATATTTCGCTAGCTAATCAAGCGCGACAAATTCGTTAAAACTGGATCATTCATCCTTAAATGAAGTTTTAACGGATTTTATCTAATACTCCTCCTGGAGTATATTATAATTCTGGAGTATGTAATACTTCCCCTGGAGTAGGGTTTCCATTTGACTGTGTGACGGCGCTGTCGTCGCGCCACTAGCGAAACACATCGAAGCCTAAATCGCGCTAACAAAGTTCCGACGTTAAAGCAGTATATATAGAATAGCTCCGAACTACTAATTGGCCGCTTCCCGGGCAGAACACCTTGCCCAGCGGGAGATCTCCCCTTTTCCTTACACCGGCCACAGTGGCTACAACTGTATGTTTTTTCTTCCGTTTGTATGAATGTTACGCTATATCCTTATTAATCTTATTTATATTAAATAGGTTATACTTTAGGGATCTATTCATCCATCCATTACATCCTATAAAAGTCCACTGTTGAACATAGGCCTCCCGCATAGATTGACTCATGGGGGTTTTTTCTGTCGTACAAGGCGACTGTCTGGATTGCTATGAAAATCTGAAGGTCTTAAGAGATGGCGGCGTAAACATATTTTTTTGCTAGGCGTAAAATACCAAGAACGGCGAGACAAAGCTTCCCTGAGAAGAGGTCCGTGCCCTACAGTGGACTCTAAAGGTTTGGTTTGGTTTGCTTTTTTAAAGGAGAAGAAGATTAAACGTGGTAGAGTTATGATGCAGCTATATTATAATTGTTGCACGAATGAGTTGGCTTGATCTGGGAAGGACCATACTCTCAGGACAGGATATCAGCGTAAAATTATAGTTTATTCTTATATTTATTACAATATTTTGGTGAGTGTAGAGAATCGGAGACCCTTTTACTGGATATCAGTCATTACATCTCAGTCCTCCATCTGCATATTGATTCTTAATCGGACATAGATGTAGATGTCTATGGGCCACAGCATCCATTTACCACCATTTTTACTTGGTGGAGCCATGCTGCAGCTATATTAGTAGTATAGTTGTTGCACTAATGGTTCGGCTCGACCGGGCGGGACCATGCTCTCACAAAATACCAGCGTAAAATAGCAGCTTAACGCTGCTGTGTTTCGTGTGGTGAGTGTGGGGAACCGGAGACCCTTTTAGCTGGAGACGAGGCATTCTATCTTAGTCCTTACGGGTGACGACGCATCTGCATTTTCATTTGTAATCGTGCATAGATGTAAATGTCTATGGGCCGCAGCAACCACTTACCATCAGGTGGACTGTGTGCTCGTTTGTCACCCTTATCCCAGAAAAAAAAAACCAACAGGAGGGTTGTGTGCTCGTTGGTCGCCCTTACTTTATAAAAAAACAAGGTGATTACGCTTCGTGCCGCTCGTAACAGTTGTCATGATCTCCGGAATTTCATTACTTTGTCTTGAAGGTGATAAGTCAATCGGTAGACCTTTATAACTCTTGGATTTGTCAATCATATCACTTCTTCGAACTGGCTCTGTTTCCACTGTCAAATATAGAATAGAATAGAATAATTTTTATTCAATATAGATTATTATATAATACTTATTGATAGACGTTTTTTTATTTACCACTGGTTAAGAAAATACTTCCGTCCTGGGAAGAACCAGCAAGAAACCCAGCGGGACTTTTTTTTAAACATATTTCACTTTAGAATAATTTTGTTTCCACTGTCAAATATAAACATAAATTGTACATGATTATTATGAAAAACTTTCGTAACATAATATTATTATATTGTATTATTCGAGGGTAACTAACTAAACAAACAACTTAAAATAATTTAAAAGAACTATTGGTAAATCCAATTGTGCATGCTCTAAGCGCATTAAAAAAATTACGTATATAAAAAAATTACGTATAACATGATTATACGGATTTTTTTACTTCCAATTTCCCAATAATTTTAGGTCAAACTTCAATTCAAAAAAGTTTGGAATCCAAAAGTGCCCGACTCATAATGCTCATATGATAATCATATCATCATTCAGGTCACTAACACTACGCTGCACATCATAAAGTCCAAGACGTATTTAAGTATAAATATATACGTCATACTTACTTTTAGTACGTACTACTATTATTTATTCTGTACTTTTAAAATATTGTAATAAAAATCTCTGATTATTATAATAATCAATCATGTAAGAAATTTTGTTTTTCGAATATTTTGTATTTGTACAGCGATCTTTTTGAGCCGCTGCAAAAAACCGATACAGTATCTACTCACGACGGCGTTTGACGCCGAAGTGAGTGAGGCAGTCTATTTAGTAAAATAAATTAATACAAGGCTGCCAAAACACCGAAAATTTCGACATTTTGCAGCCGAAAAAAAATAATTATAACTAAACAAAACAAAATTAAACTGCCATTTACATTCCATGGCTTCCCACATGATAGATGAAGAGATTAAAAAATAGATTGAGTTAAACCATTGATATTTTAAAAAGTTATCGTGTTTACCACTCCATGCGGACTTGATAAATCTACACCATAAGCCTCCACTTTTTAATGTAAAAATAGCAATTAATCGATTTAAAAAAAATTCTGACAATGTGCTTTTTATATCAAAACAAACGTATCAGACAAAACGTTGGAATCTTGATTTTTAGGCGCTAGTAGAACATACCTACGCGCTTTGCGCAAAAACTGTGGTTGCTTATCTTGTGTTTGCTAATGGTATACTCAGAAGCGTTTGAAGTTTTTCAAATGTTGTTCTGTTAACAACACAACCATCAACTTTTATAAACCTAAGAACTTTCTTACCAACGAATGAAGAACGAATGGGGACAAGATTTCGAAGTATTTGAGATAAGTATGTAATTCTACAGTTTACATTGTAATTATCAAAGCAGTATATACTCGGAACAATTATTTGTAGGCCATACTTGTTCTGTGCGGGATTCGAACCCGCGGCCCTTAGCGCTACTCACACTGCAACTCATTGCTAAGCCGCTGCGCCACGGAGCCGTTGCAAAAGGAAAGATTAACAAACCTAGTAGATGGGCAAGAAAGGTTCTCAACGACAGCCTCGTACCGGTATGTGTATATGAAGTCGAATTAGTAAAGAGATGTGGGAAGTCGATGGATGCTATGATTGGTGGGTAACATGGATGGGTATCATTGTTGATGTTCCATTTTCAACAATGGACTTTTAATGGACAGTTATGACGATAATGTATGATATTGTGTATGTTGTGGATAGGTTCCTTTTTTATACAAGTGGCTGTGACCAAGGAGCACACAGTTCTTTTGATGGTAAGTGGATGCTGAGATCCATAGAAGTCTACATCTAGCGTCGACTTAGATTTAAAATCGTTATTCTATCGTTTTTTTCCTCTGCATTTTTTCGCGATAAACTTACGTTGGGGATGAATATACGAGACAGACTAAGTTTTATTTTGTTTTAGTTAGCATATTGTAAACTCTGAATAATTATAATAATTTTAGAATCGGAATTTCTTTTTTCTTTGCGAGTTGGTGGTAAATTCCATAACTAAGATTAACCATATCCACAACATTGACTCCCACGCTTGTCGCCCAGAGGAGAAGGCAGAGACTAAGGACTACCATTTGGCACGATCCTGACACATTATCTTAATCCTTTTTTGATGTGCTAGACATCTATATATCTACACGTCCATGCTCGCCTTTTAAGGGTAGTCTTAATGTACCAATTTGGTCTATATTGACTATATCACCAATTTGGTCGTGATTCTTCGCCAGCATAAATTTGCTTTCTCACTCTTTCCTTATTTTTTTTTACGTATCTCAAATACCAAAGCATTCCTTTCTTAATCCTTGTCGCAACATCTTCAAAATTACTGCCTATAAATCTAAATACTCTGGAAGAACTTACTGTCATCAGAAGAGTCTGTCATTGCCAAATAATTCACAGTATCTTCATGGGAATATGTAAATTGAACTATGTTACACAAAAAAATCATTAACACCGTCATTTTGTGTTCTTCGTACGCCATTTTAAATACTTAAATTTATATTTATATGTCTTTACTTTCTATTTTGTTTCTGCATATTAAAAATAGACCAAAAATTAAATAACTTCAGTTTGGTATGGTTTTTTATAGCTTAAGAATAAAATGCTTTTGTAATGTATTTTATAATTTTATTTCAAATATAACTGCACAACAGGTAAGTATGTAATAAAACATTTTATTTAAGTACTTAAAATGTCACATCATAAAGTTTTCTCGTGGAATATTTCAAGCAAGAGATTTTTTACGTACTTATTTATTCACTAGGATTTACATTATCGGAGGTCAGACCAGCCATGACACAAACTAGTGCGAATAGGATAGGTTATGATTCAGAATTCAGAAATAACGGGACGGATTTTTGATAACGAGAAGTGTTACACCATGGATGATCACATTGGAACTGACTGAGATGGCGGATGGAAACACCAGAGAGGCTGTGGAAGAAACACACTTTAGAAAAGTATGAAGGGGTTGCTGCTGATAGCTAAGGGATCATTATTTATCTTATCAACATCAGCTACGGAGTTCTATGCAGAACGTTGGTGGTTGCCACGGAATCACTTTCGAGAGGGCCAAGGAGTTCGTCGAGCTTGGGCCGGAAGTCATCGTCGCCAAAATCCACAAGTTGGGATTAGAAATAGCGCCTCACATGACCGAGGCCCTATGGTTCCTTAAATTACGTCGCGGCAGGGAGCCACCCGACTCGTGTGTCCGCGTGAGTGGTTCTGAAGGCAAAGTGGGGCGGTACATGAATTACCAAGGCCTCTACCTGGACAGTCGATGAGGCTTCGAAGAACACTTCGACCGCCTAGTCCCCCGGATTGTAAGGGTAGCGGGTGCTATACATAGACTGCTGCCCAATCTAGGGGGACCAAGGGAGGAAGTGCATCGCCTCTATGCAGGAGTGATACGGTTCGTAGCCTTATAGCGTTTGCTCCTATGTGAGCGAAAAGGCTGACCATCCGACGCTGCAGCCCATGGGCAACTTCAAATAAAGAAGGTTGACGTTGTCACCTCTGGGAACTTAGATGGAATATCTCACAATCTATATTATACTGGCTTTCTATAGTCTTCAGACCGGATCACAATTGTGCAGGCACTGCTATTTGACGGCAGAAAAAGGTAAGGAACCCTCCCGAACGAGTTCCCGCCTTGTCGTAGCGGGGACGGGGGGCTTTGGAGCCGTGGCTTGGTCATCCTTGGTGAACTAAGAAGAACCCATATAGCTAGCCCGAGGTGACGGGTCGGCCTGAGGTGGCCACTTCGAGTGGGCTTGGCGAGCCAACTTCGGATGTGAGTTAGTGGAGAGTAGTGACGGTATTGCGAGGAGCCGCTCTCTCTACCCTCTGCAGCCGTAACTTGGTTGGCGGCGGAGCCATCGACCAAATCCACCGCTGGGGTCAGGAAAGCAGGAGCTTCCGAGTGCTCGCTCGCGGGGCGCTCTTTGTAACTTTGTGTTCGGAATGCACGACTTAAGAAAGTCGTTAAAATTCAAGATTGTAATAATTGACTTTCCTTTCGAAACAGAGCTTTTTGTTGGATTTTGTAGTTTGGATTGATGTTGTAGTTCGGCGGTAGATTCTACAAGCAAACCGAACGCTTGTCATCACGGAGCTAATACAAAGAGGAGGTTTTGTAATTAGATTTCACTATGTAACAACGCGTGACAATTTGCTGGGTGAAGGTATGTTAAGCTCTATTAGCAAGTTTAAATGTTTTGTTAAGTTGAAACTGTATAAAAAGGGTTATTATAGTATAAATGAATACATGGTTGATAATAACCCCTGGGAATGAGGTGATCGCTTCCAAGCTGTTTCTAAAATAAATTTTGTACTTATATAGTTTGTACAACCATTATTGTAAAATTTGCTTTAAAAAGAAGTCCCGCTGGGTTTCTTGCTGGTTCTACCCAGGACTGAGGTTTTTTTCGAACTAATGGTATAGTAAAAAATGACTTTCAATAAGAATTACACATGTGATCTATATTGAATAAAAAATTATTCTAATCTAATCTAAGCCCCACCCATTTTACTATTTTCCATCTACCGATAAATAGTAAAACTACTCGCATCGTTCCATATCGATGTTGCAATGTAGTTTAGCTACCTTGACGATAGATGGCGGCATGTTCACAAAATGATTATAAAAACTATAAAAATAATATTTTTATAGTTTTTATAATCATTTGCTGACTGAATGCAAAACAAATTTTAACACTTCGTATGATTATTTTACCAATACTGAACTCTACGTACCTTTATATTTTTAGTTCCCATGACACAGTGTCGCCATATAGTGTCGAATATATTTAATTACATTTGAAAGCCGACGCAAATTTTTATTTATTATTTTTAGAACAAATGAAATGTGATGCCATCCATAGCATCAAAGCGTCTATCTGAGTATTTTTACACGATGAAACACAACACTTCATCCTTTTCTTCTTAATACTACGAAAATACACCGATTTGCGATTTTCGACACATAAGCGCACTGGACGAACGCTGACAGTGTAAGTAAAGTCATGCCCACTGTAATGACATCAGGACCTAGTTAGAATCACAGTGCACAGTTGCTTATGCCATCTCCTCTATGTATTTGCTTCGTGGTTATCATTCAGAAGTTTCGGTTATCGCGTTTGTAATGCCTCGGCATACGGCCTCGCTCCACTGCACGGAAGCAACAACTCGAAACGGAGTATGTTTCTAACTAACGTAAAATCTATCAAGCCGTTCAGGGTACAGAGCGTGCCAAAGAATTGGACATAAATTTTCACTCGATAAACATTACCCTTCTAGGGCAGTCGGGTAAAAATGAGAAAACAAACCTTTTTACACAATATTTTATTTATGCGAAATGTAGGAAAATTAACAGAATTTATAACTAATCACAAAGCTTATGAACACAGATATAATTCCTGCATCATCTCGACGATAAAGTTAATCCTGGAACAGAAAAAAAAAGTGTTTTTTTTACTATTCTAAGCCAGCGCTTAACTACAATCCCACCTGATAGTAAGCGGTAATGTAGCCGAAGATAGCACTAGAAGCACTCTTACTTAGCAATGTTTATTTACTCTTGCCTTGAACACAACAACATTGTAATCGGATGAAAGGCAGATGATGGTAACTTATTCCACTCCTTTACTTTAAGCATGACGAACGATGTAAAAAGCCGTTTCGAATGCGTGGTAAGCTGTTAAGTCGACAAGGAAAGGGGTGGAGACTGGCCAGATAAATGTGGTACCTACATGGGAGACGCAACAACATTTTGTTTTGGAAAAAATGGTGTAGTTGACATGATTCAATAGAGAGGACCATATGGGGGATAAATTCTCTTAAGCCCCACCGCATCATGATAAGCTTATTACAAAGACTTTTATGCATAGTATAGCCCGATTATTGAGAACACAAACTGTGTTACAGCTGTGAAAAGCGTGGGCGAGGGCGCGGACGGTTACCTGGCACGGTAATTATGCCACACAGTTGTATTTTAATTTACAAAACTTTTCTGTAATAAACTTCAAACCACGTTGACAAAGTGCACACAATATCAGTGTCACATTGCCGAAAACAACGTTCGCGGTTTAGAAAACAAGTGGTTAAATTAATAATTTTGTATAACCGACTTCATAAATAAAATGAGAAAATCATCAATGTAGTCGAAGTCAATTTTTTTTTATAGAAGAGGGGGCAAACGAGCTTGCGGCTCACCTGATGGTAAGTGACTACCGCCACACATGAACAACCGCAACACCAGGGGAATTGCAGATGCGTTGCCGGCCGTTTAGAAATGTGTAAGCTCTATTCTTGAAGGTTCACAAGTCATATCGGTCCGGAAAATTCGCTGGTGGTAATTGATTCTACAAGGAAGTTGTGCGAGGGAGAAAACTTCTTCTAAATCGCACAGTGGTGGACCGCCAATCATCCAGATGGTATGGATGGTAACGCGAGTTTTGTCGTGATGTGCGATGGTGAAATTGAGCGGCTGGAATTAGTCCGAACAATTCCTCAGAGCACTCCCCGTGATAGATGCGATAAAATACGCAAAGAGATGCAACATCTCTACGCAGTGCCAGTGTATCGAGCCGATCAGAAAGAACTCGGTCGTCGACGATTCGAACCGCTCTGCGCTGGATGCGGTCAAGTGGAAGGAGCTGGCACTGGGGTGCCCCGGCCCAGAGATGAGAACAGTATTCCATGTGGGGCCGAACTTGCGCTTTGTAAAGTTGCAAGCGATGTGCCGGCATGAAATACTGTCTCGCTCTGCTGAGCACGCCAAAATTAAATACGCATTATTAAGGATAACGCAAAAAGTACTGGTCACATCTTGATCAAATTTATACCAGACCACATGTGAAGCACCAGGTTTCAAATAAAAAAAGAATCATCGAAGTCGGTTCACCCAGTAAGTTATGAGGCAACACACATAAAAAACATACAGTCGAATTGAGTACGAACTCCTTTTTGAAGTCGGTAGAATAATAAACAAACTATGGTTGCCACCTGAAAAGCGCGGCGCCTATGGCAAATTCCTCCATATCAGGGCAATCTGTGGGTAAAACCTATGTTCAGCATTGGACTTGCGTTGGGCTGTAATGAATTGTAATAATATTTAATTTACCTTCCATTTGTCATTGTCATAGTCCCATTTGGAAGATATCCCGTCTATGGGATTAACTCTAAGCTCCAGCATCCTGCGCAGCTGAGCCTTCTGCGCGAACTTCGAGAAGGAACTTGGTAGAGGCTCGTTCACTACAATACGAACGTTGAGATGAAATGTAATAAGTTTGTGTGCAATTATAGCATACGTGTTATAAATTAAACTCGTTTGGTATAAACAAAATAAAGCGTGTGTCAAACTATTTTGCGTTTAAAAATGACAAAACAGAATGAAGCAGGTAGGTAGTTTTGAAGGACTTTAAAGGAGGAGGTTCAAATATAGTCAGAAAGAAGATAGAGGTAACAATACATAAAATCATTTAAAAATATTATTTAAATTAGCTAAGTTCTTGTTTAAGTTGGCTTGATTCTGTACTTGTTTAAAGGATGCAACCTGCAAAGAACGTCGGTATATCACGTCAGGTATAATTTTTTTAAGGTTCTTTTTTGTGTATGATGAATTCTCATAACGGCTTCATTTTAAAATAAATTAAACAAGATAATATCTAGATTAATAACATACAATGTAAAACGTTCCGATAGTAAACTATCTAAAGATAAGAAAAAGATAGTTTCTTTTTATAGAACTGAGGTTACAAACGAACTTAGTTTCTCCCTGTGGTGAAGTGGTATGTGACTACTGCAATCCACAGACACCTGCAACAAACTGCATACAAAATAGGATACAGATCCTACGTTGTTACCTCTGAGGACAAAGATAGAATCCCTCTCAGCCTGTAATTAGACTGGCTCTGTATCCTACAGAACGGAATAATTTTATGGTAGAAATAGGTAAAAGGAGGGCCACCTACTTCGACGGCTACTGTTCTGTCTTTTTTTGGTTTCTATATTTATTTGAAGATTATTTTGCTCTCACCGTAATAGTGGTAGAACATTGCGACCCAGAAGGCAAAAGAAGTGGTAACGAGAGTCCAGCCTAAAATGAACTTCCAAGTGCCCGTAGGCGCCTGGAATTCTGCAAAAGTTTGGCAGAAGGAAGCTCGGTACAACGCTTTCTTTTCTTCGCAGGACAGCTGCCTCCAGTCTCCCTTCTCTTTTTCACGTAGAGCCTGTAAATCATTAAGTTATACAAGACTAAATCAATGTTGTAAATGTTGTCTTTAGTTGTTTAATCGAATCATGCAGGTCAAGAATGATGATCGATGTTTTATGATTGATATATACTTAACCTTACTTGGGTAAAAAGTTGGAAATTAAGGCGCAAAAGAAAGTAAAAACCAGTTATTTTTATTTGTGAGATCTTAAACTAAATTTCACGTAGTACATTTAAAAAAATATTATAGACCAAATTGGCGATGTATTGTAAATGCGCCGAATAAAGAATAGGTATCCTTATTCGACGAGCAAGCACGCGGTAGATAGATAGAATGTGAAGGAAGCGAGAGGTGTGTGTCAGGATCGTGCCAAGGAGTGGTCCATAGTCTCTTCCTACCCCTTTGGGTGACGAGATGAGAGTTGTGTGTAAAATTTCAAAAAAAGCATTTGGCAGCGACGCTGTGGGGCCATGGGATCGAATTCTTCACGGAACATGAATGGCCTACAAGTAATTGTTCTATGTCTGGATGTTTGCCCATGTGTAATTTATGTTATGCCTCCATAATATAGGAGAAAATTCTAGTGGGGTATCGTTTTCCAAAAGAAACGACCAACTTTCTTTTTTAATACCACATTTTACGTTTTAAATTTTTATAAACGACATTATAATTAATAATTATAATGTCGTTTATAAAACAAAATAATTATAATGTCGTAAAGCCTAATTGTTTTGACAGAGTCATGGCTCAATGACACAGTTTTGACCACGAGCTCTTGGATGCTAGATATGATATTTTTAGGCGCGATCAGATTTCTACTTTGTCCTTCCATACGAAAAAAGAAGGTGGCGGTATTTGTTTAGCTGTACTGAAAAAATATAGGGCGTTGAGAATGAATAGATGGGAGAGTCAGCGTGTGAGGAATTATGGGTCTCTATAGACTTAGGTCTTAATAATAAATATAGAATAAATATGAGCGCTGCGTATATTGCCCCACCAGTTTCAAGGGATTACTTAACAACTTTTCTCAACAATGTCACGGATGTCGTCAACAATAAAATATCAAACGGCTCATTTACCCTGTTGGTAGGTGATTTCAACCTTCCTTATATAGTCTGGGAGAGTATAGGCGATCAAAATGTATACATCCCAGAGCCAAACAATGGGACTATCGAAAACATGTTTATAGACGAAATTACGTTCAATAATCTTAAACAATGTAATTATATCTTAAACGCTAATAATCGAATTTTGGACTTGGTTCTTGTGGATAATGCTAATAACGTAAAAGTGGCCGAAGCTTCGCTGCTTCTGGTGGGATTGGATCCTCATCATCCTGTCCTCGAAATACTCCTTCACAGTCTAGACTGTGAACATAAAACCATGCAGGTCCAAACGTGTAGCATTACCTAATTATTCCAAGTGTGACTTTGACGCCATCAACGAAGAACTCACGCATATAGTGTGGTCTGAAGTGTGGTCTGACCTTTATGACATAGATTCCATGGTTGACAAGTTTCACGGCACAGTTTTACCCATAATTAAGAAGCACACGCCATATCGAATTTCACATTCAGAAAAATATCTGGTGTGGTTCAGCACAGCCTTAATAAAATGCTTAAAAGAAAAAGCGAAGTATCATAAGAAATACAAACAGTATGGAAATCCCCTGGACAGATTAACATATGAACTTCTTAGAGACCGTTGCAATACAATGATCAAAAGTTGTTTCTCTAGCTTTAAAAAAAAACGCAGCTTCTCATTTACGCTCAAACCCTAAGTTCATCTGATCTTATGTTAATGGTCTCAAAAGAAACACAAATTCCCTTCCTCTCAGATGACTCGAGGTGTCAAGACTGCCAGAGGTGGCCAAGAGATTTGTGACCTATATTCTCAGAGCAATTTTAGTCAATATACGATGACATTGCCACCAATTTTACATCCAAATCATCCAATGTCAATAAAACAGGTCTCGATATTTGCGAGAACAGTCTGACCATCAACTCACTCACTGTCAGCGAATACGAGGTAGAAAGAGCATTGATGGGATTGGATGGAACAAGGGTTTAGGATTGGATGGCTTGCCCCCTATCGTTCTAAAGAAGTGTGCAAAAACTATGTCAAAACCTCTTACGTATATATTACTCTCTTCGAAGCGGCATTTTCCCCCTAGTATGGAAAAAGCCGCGCATCATCCCTATCCATAAAAAGGGAGATCTTGCCGATGTTTCTAATTACAGGCCGCTTTCTATACTTCCAGCACCCGGGAAGGTTCTAGAGTCATTTGTTCATAAAAAATCTATTGGCACGTTAAAGAGCGCCTGCACCCAGACCAACATGGATTTCAGTCTAAAAAGTCAACAACATCTAACTTAGTCGGTTTTGTTAATGATATTGCATGTGCACTGGATATGAATAAAGAGGTACCACAGTATTTACACCGATTTTAGCAAGGCCTTCGATCTCATTAACCATTTTAACAGTGGTAGAGCCACGCGGCAGCTTTTGCTGTCGCACGGATGGGCCGGCTAGAACCGGGGTAGTACCACGACCTCGCAGAAAACCAGCGTGAAGTAGAGGTTTACCTCTGCGTTTCGCTTGTTGAGTGCAGGTGGCCGGAGGCCCTTTTTACTGGAAATGAGGCATTCCATCTTAGTCCTCACGGGACAGACATATTTCATGGTTCTAAGGCCTCAGCAAGGACTAACATTAGATTAGCCATTAATTAATTAATATTTATTATTTAAGAGTTTTTTCATTTCTTAATTTTTATTTGTTATCATGTCCATTTGTTGCATGATGTGTTCACTGTTATAAGAATGAACGTTTGTTTGTTACTTTTTTATGTTACCTGAACCATGTAACGTTACATTCCATGAACCAAATAAAAAAAAATATAAAAAAAATTATGGTGGGTGTTGACAACAACCAGCCGGGAGCTGGGATACAAAACATTCGTTTAAAAATACAGAGTTATATTTTGGTGTAGATATGTAGTAATGTGTGAGTAGTCGAAATTGACTTTAAAGTTAAGCATAACATTATGTAAATATTAAATATTACATTATTATAATTCTGAATAAAATAAAATAATTAACAATTAATAATCTCCTTACACAGACTTCCCTAGTGTTCTCCTTAAACCGTACGGCGGGAAAAGGGAAGTGCGCATCGTCCTTGTATACCGCACTCCCGTTGATGCCGTGGCCAACGATATTCCTATTCCCGATCCTGCACTTACCGTGTATTCGCCTCACATTACAGTATAATGTTACAACGCTTGGTTGTCTTAAGAACGCAGACATATTGCGGGGAACACAGATACAGTATGATTGACGTTTTGCATTATTTTCACTTTTAAAATTTTTTTTATGGACAGTAATTTAAATATATATATATATGAAATATTATATTAATGTAAACTTATGTATGTCACCTCTTTGCTAGATTGCATCTTTGGTTTGTACATTATTAGACTATATTATTAAAAAAATATTCCGAGCCTATGAATATATAAAATAAACACAAACATAATGTAATAATATACAGAAATATAAAAAACAATAAAATTAAACTTAACCACATCATCATGCGATCGGAGCTAAGTTCTGTAAAACTCGTCGTTAAAAAACCCAAAAACTCTCCGATCACACAAGAGTATATAATATGGTAAAAGCCATGAGATTAAGAAATCTCATGGCTTTTACCATATTATATATCATATTGCTGCTATTAATTTTTGTCCCATATTTGTTAACATGCCATACATGCTTAGTCCTCAACAGAACCCCGTATTTTTATTTTTAAAAATGAAATTTTCAAGGTGATTCCAACGAGATGGAATGACCGGTAAAGAAAAAGAAATATTATTTCAATCTCGTAGCTATTATGTTGAAGAAAGGGATCTAAAACACTCGTAGTTCATTACTTTGGCGATATCTTTCTTAAACATTTTAAGTAAGATGGTGTGTGGTAAACCTCCAGACCGAATTTCAGTCACGGTGGCCAGTCTCAACAGAGACTAGTGATCGGCGCAGGACTGGATTATAGTTCCCAAATGTATGCGCAAGCATAAGTGCTGTCTAAGCATAAGTGCAGTCTAAGCATAAGTGCAGTCTAAGCATAAGTGCAGTCTAAGCATAAGTGCAGTCTAAGCATAAGTGCAGTCTAAGCATAAGTGCAGTCTAAGCATAAGTGCATACTAAGCATAAGTGCAGTCTAAGTATAAGTGCTGTCTAAGCATAAGTGCAGTCTAAGCATAAGTGCAGTCTAAGCATAAGTGCAGTCTAAGCATAAGTGCAGTCTAAGCATAAGTGCAGTCTAAGCATAAGTGCAGTCTAAGCATAAGTGCAGTCTAAGCATAAGTGCAGTCTAATCTTGTCTAGTCTTGTCTTGTTTATATATGCTGTCAAAACTTAGGTAATTCCTTAATACAGCAATTACAATGTTTTTCCACTAAATTAAATGATATTGTGTTAAATAACTTGGCAGATGGTTTTTTACTTTTAGGCGATTTTAATTTGCCGAATATAATATGGCAGCCAGCTGACGATGGGCAATCTCAATGCCCTTTTAATATTCAAGGTCCCATTCAATCGGATTTTTTTGATACTCTTAATTTATGTTCCTTATCTCAATATAACAGTCAACTAAACTGTAACAACAGAATTCTGGATCTAATTTTCTGCAACAATTTTATAAATGTTCATAAATGTATAGACCCTTTAGTTTCGGAAGATCCTCATCACATAGCACTATGTATATCTGTTGACTTCATCCACCAAAATACGCTTTCACCGCAAACCAGAACAAAATTCCTGTATAATTTTGCAGATTACACTAAAATATGTCAACAACTTGATAATACGGACTGGTCCAGTTGCCTCAGAATGGGTTCTTTAGAGGAGGCTGTATCCTTACTGTATGATAAGTTACAAATGCTAATTAACAAACATGTCCCTTGCAAAACTGTAAAATCATCTTCCAGATTTCCTCCCTGGTATAAAACACCCTTGATTAAAATCTTAAAAGAAAAATTTAAGTATCACTCAAAGTATAAAAAATATGGAAATACTTCCGACCTTGATTCTTTTGTTTTATTACGAGAACGTGGGAAGGTTCTTGAAAAAAGTATGTACGAAGCTTACATTCGTGATATAGAAAATAATATAAGCAAATCACCGAAAGCCTTCTGGAACTTTGTTAAGAGTAAAAAATCTCCAAGTTCATATCCTTCTATTATGAAATTCAGACAGTATTCTTCAGGCAAAGGTGAAGTAATTTGTGATTTTTTCAATCAGTTTTTTAAATCTAATTTTCTTAACGATTCCGACACAATTAATTTTAATATTATTGACTCGCAAATTGATCAATCTTCTATTGATATCAGTTCCATCGAGGTGCAAGAAGCAGAGGTATCCAGACTTTTAAAGGCTATAGACCTGTACAAGTCTGCTGGACCAGATGGTATCCCGGCTATCTTAATCATACGGTGTGCGGACTCTCTTACTTTGCCTCTGAGTATTCTGTACCGCCGTTCCTTAAAGGAAGGCATTTTTCCAAATATTTGGAAAAGTGCGTTTATTACTCCAATTTACAAAAAAGGACCTAAGGATGAGGTACAAAACTATCGTCCCATTTCCAAGCTCTGTTTATTCGCTAAAGTATTTGAAAAAATAATTTACAACCAGGTGTACTCTTCCCTTCGCCACTCATTTAGTGAAAATCAACATGGTTTCTTAAAAAACAGATCTACCGTGTCAAACCTTGTTATTTGTTCCGACTATCTAACTAGCTTTATGTCTAAACCAGCACAAGTAGATGTAGTCTATACAGACTACTGCAAAGCATTCGACAGAATCGATCATTTAATTCTTTTACGTAAACTCCTTGCAATGGGTATCAGGGGGGACTTATTCCGATGGTTTACGTCATACATCAGAAATCGAAGTCAATCTGTCGTCCTTGGTGGATATCGTTCGTCTGCAATCCATATATCGTCTGGCGTACCACAAGGATCCCTATTGGGGCCCTTGCTCTTCTTAATTTTTATCAATGATATCGACACGTGTTTTAAAAATTCCAAGATTATTCTTTACGCTGACGATATGAAAATCTTATGTCCTATTACAAGTTTGGAAAGTTGTTCTAGCCTTCAAAAGGATCTCTTCAATTTAGAAGCATACTGTTCTAACAATAAACTCGATCTGAATGTTTCCAAATGTTTTATCTGCTCATTTACTCGTAAACCTAATCCTATAATTTATAATTATAAATTAAACCATATTTCTATAAATAGAACCAGCACTATCAAAGATCTCGGTGTTACTTTTGACTCTAAATTGCTGTTTGACAATCACGTTGATAACATCGTTACAAAGGCTAACAAATCGCTGGGTTTCATATTAAGGTTATCGGCAGATTTTAAAAGCATAAAAACCTTCAAAATTCTATATTGCGCTTTTGTACGCAGCCATTTGGAATATGGTTCTGAAATTTGGAATCCAAAATATAATGAATATGTGGATAGGATAGAGCGCATACAAAAAAGATTTTTGCGTTTTCTTCAATTTAAATCAAAAAAGTTTATACCCAGCTATACTCTTCGATGTAAAAAAAAATCACATATTACCTTTATATGAGCGTAGAAATATTGCAGATCTCTCCTTCCTCTTTAAAATTATGAATGGTAATATTGATTGTCCTGAACTATTAAGTAAAATAGGTTTACACACCTCATCATCTGGTTTGCGGAAACCTACACTTTTATATGTACCATGCGTGAAAAGTAATTACAGGAAAAACTCTTTTATTATTCGATCATGCAGATCTTTTAATGCTATAGCACATACTCACAATGTGGATATTGATTTATTTCATTCCAGCGTTATCCAACTTAGGCGTTTACTTTCTAACAACTTCTTTTCTTTTTGATAATGTAATTTATATTTAAGTATACTGTTACTATATCTCTTCTGACACACTCTTGTCATATAAAGTATTATATAAGTGAAAACTTGTAAATGGCCTTCATTTTTGTTATAATTATATTATTTTTGTAAATTAGCTATAAGTTTTCCAAGCAAATAAAAATAAAATAAAATAAAATAAAATAAGCATAAGTGCAGTCTAAGCATAAGTGCAGTCTAAGCATAAGTGCAGTCTAAGCATAAGTGCAGTCTAAGCATAAGCTATTTACTCTCATAGTTCGATAGGAGGATAAACCGACATGCCTGGAGTGAGATCAGGCGCAGGACCAAAGGATTTACGTGCTTTCCTAAGCACGGGGGTGAGACACCGCCCACTTTCTGACAGCTACTGAGAATTTCTTGGCGGAAAAATTCAATAACTGATTTTTTGGCCCGACAAGGTTTGCAACCACTAAACTAACGAGGCAGTAAGATGGTAGAAATGTTACCAATGACAAAACAGATACAGGTTTCTACATTTTTAATAGATCTATAAGTAAGGGATGGGCCATTTAAGATTTGGTATTTAAATCGGCAATAAAAATAAACTAGGTAATAAATATTTTTTCAAAGTTATGAGTTTAATAAAAAGAATGAACCTTTCGATTTAGGAATGGAAGACAACATCATTCAAATGACTGCCACGGCTAGCCTTACAATATATTTTAGATTGTTTGGGCTTCCATTTCGTCAATGGCAACTTCGATTGAACTTGTTTCAAGTCATCACTCGTTTCTGGGTGGTTAGCGTAACACTTGTCCATAACGGTTCTCCACAAAAAAAGTCCAATGGAGTCAAATCGCAGCTTCGAGGTGATCAGCTGACATCAGCATTTCGGCTGATTATGCAATTTTCGAAAATAGTACGCAAAAGATCGATTGTTACGTTGGTTGTGTGTTACGTTGTGCCGTCCTGTTTAAACCAAATGTCGTCTATGACATCCTCTTCAATTTTAGGAAACAAAAAAATTGCTTAGCATGGCGCGGTAGCGATCGCCATTCATTGTAACGGCGTAACCTTGCTCATTTTCGAAGAAAAATGGCTGAATAATGCCGCCAGACCAAAATCCGCACCAGACAGTCACTCGTTGTGGATGTAGACGTGTGGATTTTCTGAGCCCCAGATACGATAATTTTGCTTATTGCTGTATTGCTATATGACGTATTCTCGGAGGTGGAAATGAGCTTCATTTGAAAAGATGATTTTTCGGTAAAAATGCTCATCAAAAGGCCCATTGAGCAAACCGAAAAGATATTGGATGGTCATGCGGCTTCAGCTCTTGCACTAATTGACTTTGAGATTTTTATGCAAAATTCTTCTCAAAGTGCGTGAAATGT